AAAGAAAACACATTATCACAACAGAAAAAATAACAAATAAAATTTATATCAATAAAATAATGGACGGGTACTGAGCTATTTTTTTGGTATCACAATTAAATAAAATAAATTACTCATTTTATTGAAATGAAAGGAAATACTTTTTCTATAACATGCAAAGAAACTATTCTTTTTTGTTGAAATAAAAGAAAATACTTTTTCTACGACAGAAAAAGAAAGTACTTATTTTGTGAAAAAGAAAATATTTTTTCTACATCATGAAAAGAAAGTATTCTTTTTGTAGAAACAAAAGAAATACTTTTTCTACAACATAAAAAGAAAGTACTCAAAATAATATTTTTTCTACATCATGAAAAGAAAGTACTTATTTTATTGAGAAAAAAAATACTTTTTCTATATCATAAAATAAAAATATTTATTTTATTGAAATTATTAGGTAGAATACTCTATCTACAACATAAAAAAAAAAATATTTTTTCTACAACAGAAAAAGTAAGTACTCATTTTATTAAAAAAAAATTCTACATCATGAAAAGAAAGTACTTATTTTATTGAAAGGAAAGAAAATATTTTTTCTACATCATAAAGAGAAAATATTCATTTTGTTGAAATAAAAATAAAATACTCTATCTACAACATTAAAATAAAGTACTCTAGGTAATATTTTTTATTTTAGTACTTTTTAAGTATTCTGATCGTTGTTAGTATTATAAGATGAAGAATTATCAAATAAAATTCTAAATCCAAATTGATGAAAGAAATTATTTGGCATGAATTGACACTTATTCCAAAACATAAGATAATTTTTATGTATGCTTGTTTGAAAGTTGAGAATATTGCAAAGATTTGGGTCAATTTGTGCGGGTTGGGTTACAACTTGTTGTTTTAGCCCATCTTGACCTAACCCATCTTAACCCAAGTGAACTTTGGACAGGGTAGGGCAATGATTCATTTAATTAGTCAGCCCATCTAGATCAGCCGAAATAGCTCATTTGCCTCCCCTAGCTATACACACCATTAGTATTAAAATTTTTTTACACTATCAGGTCACAATAGGTTTGTTTTATTTTTTAAGATTGTAAATTTTACATGTTAAGGATGCTTCTGTCACGACCTAAAATTTCAACCCGTCGTGATGGCGCCTAACACACTGACTAGGCAAGCCGAAACATGATAACGTAGGCAACATAATAATGAAATTCATAGAAATAGCATAAATCTGAGGTCTCAATACAATAAAAACTGCTAATACAATCTAAATTCCCCCAAAAACTGGTAAGTACGGAGTCATGAGCTACTACAACAGAATACAAATCTGAAACTGAACAATAAATACACTGTCTGAACTATAACAGCAGTATAAAAGGAAAAAGACAAGTCAGACTGCGACCAAGGATACAACTCTACCTCGCCTCTAGCAGATAGTCTGAAAAAGCAACCTACTGCTGATAACTGGTCCTCACGCCTGAATCTGCACAATTAAGTGCAGAGTGTAGTATGAGTACAACCGACTTAATGTACTCAATAAGTATCGTAAATAACACAGCAAGAAAAATGAAACACAAATTATTAATGATACAAGTTATCACATGTGTAGTTTCATATCTAATTCCAATGCAGAACGATATCGAAATCAAATCAGCAAGTTTAGTAAGACAACTTCCGAGAGTGTATGTAAACAATTTCTCAAATACTCTACTCAGACAGTATCTTGGCATATAGGGGTGATATGCAGTTAAATCAGATAAATGATCAAGAAAATTACAAGTAAAGATGAAATGCAAAATACAACACACACTGGCCAGATTCCCTCACTTTTATATCCGTTCCAAACCACTAATCAGTATTTTCAATATCCGCATATACACCACAAGAGAGAAACATGAGATAGTGACCCTAGGGAGATGAACCCGTATCCACACGCTGCAAGGATAACTCACGTGCTGCATGGACAACTCACGTGCCAATAACATTAATATATGGATCCGCACGGACAACTCGTTGCACGGACAACTTACATACCAATAACACAATCCGCCCGGTATGGTAACGGGCACAACAACAAAGTCCGCCCGGCGTGGTCACAGACCTCCAGTCCAAACATATCATACAGGAGCAATTAAACATGTATACATGTATGAAACGAGTGAATATCAGATTTCATGTTCTGGACTGGTATAAACAACATGCTAAAGTGTAGGCATGTCAAGTGTATTATCATAGCTTAAACTGGCAATTTTAGCGAAGAATAATATTTATCAGTTCATTCATGGATTAAGCCCCTACGTAGTTTCAATCATGGCTCAAATAGTTCACAAATATGTCACAAATGTGCAAAGCATCATAGCATAAGGTTTAACAGTCAAAGTCCAAGCTTATAAGAGCCCGACCACAACATGAAATAAATCCTGATACCCGCACATGGGTTCACCCAACGCATGTGTGCACCCAATAGCCGTAGCTATCACAAAAATTCAGGCAACTAGTGCCTCGGCCGAGTTTAAATAAGATGCTTACCTCAAACAAATCAAATCACTCAGCTAGCAAGCCCTTCCTACGCGTATTGACCTCTAAAAGGCTCGAATCTAGCCAAAAATAACGTAATACTGCCAATAAAAGCTATAGGAATTGACTCCAAATGATAAAGCTAAGATCCTTAACCAAAATCAAAAAGTCAATTCAAAAGTCAACCCGGGCCCAAGTCTTGGAATCCAACAAAAGTTACAAAATTCGAACACCCATTTAATAATGAGTCCAATCATGCTAAAATTATTCAAACCTGACCTCAAATCGCTTTTCAAATTCCCAAAATTTGGCCTAAGAAGTTTCACCATTTTCCCCAAATTTTCCAACTCAAAGCACTAACTAAATGACAAAAATAACAATGGATTCATGTATAACAATTAAAACCGAGTTAGAATCACTTACCTCAATCAACTCCTTATAAATCCCTTTAAGAATCGTCCAAATCCGAGGTCTCTAGCTCAAAATATGAAAAATGGGTTCAACCCTCATTTTTGAAATTTATCTCTGCTGCCCAGTTATTGGCTTTAGCGATCGCGGACCAACAATCGCGATCGTGTAGAACAACTCTGCCCAGCTCACAAATCCTCTTTCGCGATCGCGTGAACCCAGCCGTGAATGCGGAGAACCACCTTCCCAGGATTATGCGATCGCGATCCACCACTCGCGAACGAGAAGAACATCGTGTGCCTCTCCAGTTACCTCACTTCCTTATACGCGAACGCAATCCACTGTATGCGTTCGCAAAGCACAAGTTCCTCAACTTTCGCGATCGTGTCCTCTCTTTGTGAATGCAAAGAGAAAAATCCAACAGTCCTCAAAGACCCTTCGCGATCGCGAAGAAGGAAACCAGAAAACAGAAAATCGGCAGTCTTTTAAGTCCAAATTCCAATCCGTTACATCTGAAATTCACCCGAGGCCCTCGGGACCTCAATCAAACATACCAACAAGTCATAAAACACGATATGAACTTAGTCGAGACCTTAAATCACATCAAACAACATCAAAAACACGAATCGCAACCCAATTCAAGCCTATTGAAACTAATGAATTTCCAACTTCTACAATCGATGCCGAAACCTATCAAACCAACTTCGATTGACCTCAAATTTTGCACACAAGTCATATATGACACAACAGACCTATTCCAACTTCCGGAACCAAAATCCGAGTCCGGTACCACGAAGTCAACTCTCAGTCAAACTTCTCAACTCTCCAAACTTCAATTTTCGCCAATTCAAGCCAAAATCACCTACGGGTCTCCAAATCAATATACGGTCACACTCCAAAATTATCATACGGAGCTAGCAGAACCATCAAAACTCCATTTTGGAGTCATTTACACATAGGTCAACATCCGGTCAACTCTTTCAACTTATACTTCCTACCTTGGGACTAAGTATCCCAATTCATTCTGAAACATCCGCGGAGCGCAACCAATCACTCCGACAAGTCAAATAACAACAAAAGAGCATAGAATAAGCAATAAATGGGAAAACGAGGCTACAGTACTCAAAACGACCCGTCGGGTCGTTACAGCTTTCCCCCCTCCTTAAGGTGACTTGATAATGAAAACTCATACCGCAAACCCAACTAAATTGGCATGGAAGTCTAATTGCTATTGTTATAATTAAATAGTTCCATATGGGTCATCCTCCAAAGGGATGACCAAATCTTTAGGTTGTTTAAATTAGTTATGTAAAGATTTGCCGCAGGAGTATAATTATTTCGATAAGATAAGAGAATGACATCTTACGTTAAGTATTTCACTCCATGACATATATAATTTATTGTCTCATATCTGCTTATGATCTTGGCCAGCTAGGGAAAGATATATCCAGAAGATATCAATGAGGTGTCCAATGCATTAATAAGTTTGGTGTTTTGACAGCAAGACACAATTTGGCATCTATCAATTATATCAAAAGAAACAACTAAGTAGTCTAACACGGCTTAATGTCCAAGCTTTTGTTAGGTGGTAGTACGAGCACTAACGCGTAATGTATGAATTTGATGAAATCGTCAATCGATTTCCAAACCAAAATTTGATATTTAAGTAGAGTTACAAGTTCGATATTCATCGACTTTCAAACCAAAAACTTACTAATATTTAAGTAAACCAAGTAGAAAAATAAGTATATTATGCATCGACTTTCGGACTATGCACAGATTGATCTAAAAAAAAAATAATCTAAAACAACATAATGCATCATGTATGAATTAGATGCACACCATCAACTTTCAAACCAAAAACTTAATATTTAAGTGGAGTTACAAGTTAACTGTCCATCGGCTTCCGAACCACAAAAATTCAACATTTAAGTGGAGTAAAAAAAAAAAAATTATTGTACATAGACTTTCAAACTATGCACCAATTGACCTCAGAAATTTCTCAATTATTTGAAAAAGTCTAAAACACCAACAAAACAAGATCGACCCAGATCCTTAGAATAAGGGAACATATCAAACATGTGTAGTTCAACTCAGAATCCAATATTCCTTTTAGCAGACAAGAATTGACATTTAATAAAGTTCGTATCAGAATCATATCAATCCATATCCCATTATTCAATTCCAACCATTTCTGAATCTGTCATTGAATTGGATACATTAATACTACTGCCAAATACATTAAAAGTAAAATAGGTAAGAGATTAAATTCACCAACACCAGAAAATGTTGATTCAATAGTGTCTAAATCAACTTTTCCTTAGTCATTTGAACATTCTTTTGTAAACCTCGTGTGATTAAACAATATCATTGATATGTGTCCCAAAAGTGACAAGCCAACAAAAAACCTCACTAGTAAGGGGCAATTGGCTTATCTACACAGCGTGCCCCAACGACGGAGGAGGCGTCGCGAACCCCACAAGTAGCAAAAAAGAAAGGAAAGTACATATATTGTATACCGTCACAAATCTTGGCTGCTCATTTTGAGTCGTCTTGTTGGTGATGTTGGCGAAGAGGGCATGGACGAATCAGTGGAATGTGTCGATGAATCAATAGAGAGGGACGACGAAAGTGCTTTGGGAGATGAAGGAGAGGAAGTGGAAGGCGGTGAAGGGGTTGATGAGAGGTCAAGTGATGGTGATGGCGACGGAGATGGTGAAGGTGACAATGATGGTGAAGGGGAGAGAGTCGGGGTTGATGACTCATCGGACGATGTTTCAGGCAACTTTCTCTTGTTCATTCCTTTTTCTTCTTCCCTAAATCGATCCTCGTTGAACATGTAACTCTTCAAACGTTTTACATCCGACAATTTCACTGGCTTCAATAGGAAATCTTCAGCACCTTCTTCCAGACATCTGTTAATAGCATCAGTATTAGTTTTAAGTAAAAGAATGTCTCGCTACAAAATTCTAAGGCATAATATATAAACAGGCCTTCAGACTTGGCCTCAGCTCGCAGGAGTGTGCACAAGTAGGCACCTCAACTTGTCTCCATTTTGTTTACGTGTTCAACTTTATACAAGTTGAGGTGTTTACTTATGCACACCCAAAGTTAGAGGGCATACTTGCCAGCTGCGGCAATGTTTGAGGGCCTGTTTATGTAACCAAATTCTAAAATATGCACTCCAAAATGATGTATCATAGACCTGAGAAGTGATTCTTCTTTTAAGATAAGTAAACTAATTTAAGTCAAAGAGAAAACAGCTTTTTCCATATCTGTTTCTGGTATGCATTTCTTCCTAATAAACAACATTAAAGCCACAACTTTTACAATGTGATATTCAAAAGAAGCTTTATGCATTGACATTTATTAGTGGCAATACCAAAATTGCTTATATTGCTAATCTAATCTTTACTAGAAAAAGATCATGCATTCATCTTTATATTACTAAATAAAAATACAACTGTTAAAGAAAAGAAAATGAGATGCTCTGGATTAAGATATTGTAAAGCATGTGTCCAACTACTCTTATTTTGGTATAAGATATTAAAATAATGAAGTGGTTGTTCATTCATTGCTTTTGGTCATGCAATAAACTAGTTGTTCAATAATAATAACTGATCACAGCTTCCTAAAAATGCAAGTCAAAACCTTTTTTTAATCAGAATTGATTAATTAAACAATCTAACAGATCTTCAAAGCACATGAACAAACGATACGTAAAGATATGATTCTATCTTTAATTTAATAGGGAAGATGGCTTTAGGTTGTCAATGGTACTTCCTCCATTATTCTTTCTTAAATTAATTGGAAGATAGCTTTAGGTTTTCAATGATATTTTCCTTATTCTTTTTAAGGGGTGGGAAGAACATGGGTAAGAAGAGATGAAAGTTCTTAACCTCTTTTTTTTTCCTAATAAATGCAATGGAATTAACTCTGCCTTCTTTTTTGGGTTAACCATCCCGTATCGGAAACCTACTGGCCTGATTAAAATCTAGATTCACACCGGATAGGTCCACAATGGGGTAAAACGTTCCCTTTTGAGAAGTTTTCCATTCTCAAAATTCGAACCTGAGAACTCTGTTAAGAGCGAAGGGATCTAACCATCCCGTCACACCCCTTGGTGGTGAATGGCAAGCACTTATCCGCACCTGATGTTTATACCAAATCATATTGATATATCATGATTAAGTCACAAATTAAGGTGGTAATGAGTATTAATTAATTATGATTTAAGGATAAAAGTGTATATGTAAGTGTCGTATATTTATTGGGCAGGTATAACACCGGGTGCAACTAAGTATTTACCGTGTTGAATTAGTATTGCTTCATGACACTCATTTTACGATAGCTAATATCTATAAACATTATCCCACACCAGATTCTAAAATGGCAGCCCGGTGCACAAGGTATCTCGTATTCACGCAAGATTCGGGAAAGGGCCGTACCCAAATAGACAGCCTAACCTAATGCAAGCATTAGTGATTGCTTCCACCGTTCGAACCTAGGCTGCACAAAGACAACTTTACCATTGCTTCAAGGCTCCACACCAGATACCAATCAAAAATATATTCAATATTTTCATTTATTCTCTTCTATAATTTCATTAATCAAAACAGAATATAAAGGCAGAGAGAGGATTAAATAAGTAGGAAATCCAGCAGCAAGGATTTTGAAAATACCTGTCAATTCTAGTCAAAACATTTTCAGAAGACATGATCACAACTGGAATTTCCCTAAAAGATGAACCCTGTTGACAATTACAAATTTTGGAAACTTAAGTACAATGATTGAATTTCCTATAAGAAACTCAACTATTAATATTTCAAGCAAAATAATTAAATAGAACAATAAAGAGAGTAAAAAAAGGACCTTAATCTTTTTGAGCAAATCATAGCCAGTCATTCCAGGCATACAATAATCTGTAATTATCATATCCACCTTCAAACCCTAAAATATTAAACCAACACAAAACAAATCAAAATCCATTAAAAAAAAGAATCACAGCAAAAAAAAAAAACAAAAACAATAAAATTTGCTTACATCAATTCTAACAGAGCTCTGTTCTTCATCCAATCCAAGATATTTCAAAGCTCTCATCCCACTATCCACTGTAGTCACTGTACAATTTCAACAAAAACACCATTTAAAACCTCAATTTTTCATTTAAAAAGAACCAAAATTCAGCTCAATATTAGTTTTTTTTTAAAAGAAATTACCTTTGCAAGAGGTAATTTTGAGGAGTCTTTCAATTACTATTCTGTCCACAAGACTATCATCAACAGCAAGAACATGAACTTCGTTAGTTGACTCCGTTAACGGCAACAACTCTTCAAACTCCTCCACTCTCTCCGCCCTTCGCCGCCGTGAAAACACGCCGTTTCTTGCCATCTTAATTTTAACAAAAATGGAATAAAACCCACAAATTTTATAGCTAAAGAAGAAAAACCCACAAATTTTCTTGAAAAAAATAAGTGGGAAAAATTGTAAAGCTCTCAACTTTTTTTTAGCTAAGAAGAAAAACAAGGAAACACAGAACATAAAAAGAGAGAGGAGTGTGTGTAATATAAATGTCTATCTGTCTTGTTCATGTATGTACACAATATACATGTCCTTGTCTTTTTTTTAAAAAAATATTTACTTTCTAAAAATATAAGTAAATGTATATAAATAAAGAGACCACAGAGAGAAAAAACAGAGTGTTGAAAATCAAATCTGGTGAAATCTACTTTTTAAATTAATAAGGGAGCAATACGGCTGAGATTCTGAAATCCACTTTGTTGGTGGTGATTTGATCTTTCTTGCCATATCCACGCGAGTTATTAGTACGATATTTTCTTACCGAGTTTTTCGCGAGATTATGTTTTGTATATTGTGGGTGGTTATCTTTTTTTTTTCTTTTTTCTTTTCTAAAAGGTTGACCTGAGGTCAATTTTGAGAATCCCGCCGTCAAATCAGAAGTGGGAAAGGCGGAAAATGTAACGACGCGGTTAACTTGTTACAAGAAATGGATGAAGATTTATTTCACATTTGAAACTTATTGAAAAATTCAAAATTAGAGTAATTTCAAGTAAGCCACCTAAATTTTGTAAGGTCGGAAGACTATTATAACTCTCATTCTCGTATATTTTATGATTTAATCTGACCTCCTTATGTATATCATTACTGGAGAAGTCAGATATGTACAATGTGTTGGAAATCAAGAATGAAAAAGCAAATGGTGATGCTCAATTTCTATCCTTAGCAGTAGGCATAGTTGATAACGTATAGAGGAGTTAATTTATTTTAATTAAAGGTATGGTTAATCGACAAGTTGCTAGTTTCTTCATTACTAAAGTTGGGGCCCTCTGTCGAACTTTAGGTTTTTTTTTTATTAGTTGTAAATATTTTGTTTCCCTTGTAATAAAATTTTAATAATTAATAAGTAAGGATTCAAAATAATCTCTCACGCTGGTGAAGGGAGTCGCTTGTGCTCGTTCTTTTTCGTCCGGGCCATGTGGGAAGATGGGTACCGAGTGTATACGTACTCGACGCACGGCGTCTTCTAGGAGACACTAGAATCGGCATTTTGTCGCCTTTCACTCACCGAACAGTGTGTCCTCTCCCCTTTTGGATCTGGTTAAGCGCAACTATTGGTAAACACTTAACCTCTTAGCAACAAAGTATGATGAGGGGACCTGATTAGGCGTCAGTCGCCCTACAACAAGATACTTCGTATTAAAGAAGAAGATCATAACATCATTGACGCTAATAACACGGCCGAAGCGAACCATGCTAGTACTTAAATCCTAAATTCCATTAGATTTATTCCTAATCTTGATTTGTTGCAGCAAGATTATCAGTTTGAGAGTGTTGTAGAGAAGAGAAAGCTAATAGGTGCATCAATCTTGGTTTTTTCATCCATGATAATTGTTAGTTTGAGTGCCCGTATGGATTACTAAAGAGCTTGGTTCTTTACCGTGTTCCTTAAGCGCAAAGTAAATAAGCAATACAATGAACACAATAATTTTTACGTGGAAAATCACCCAGATCAAAAGGTGCAAAAACCACGACCTACCACGTAGGATTTTCAACTCCAACTCCACTAGAACAATGAGCAAAAAATGTATCAATTACAAGACTTTAATTCAATACTCTCCAGTACTCCTACTACTCCTAATTTGATTCACAAGTTACTCTAACTTGTAAAGCAAAATGTTCACTCTAACTCACCAACTGTTTATGACGTTTGATTACAACTCAATTTCCTAAAACACATTCACTGGACTGACTAGGAAGAATACAAAGCAAGTAATCAACACCAGCAAAACAACTTATGACGCTTTAGTTGATCTATAAAAGGATAGTTCAGAAGTCCAAAGTCAATCCTATTTAAACACGACTTGAGATCTTCTAGGAGTCTTATTCATAGTCACCTTCCTCTTTGATAGGACTCCTACTGTTCCAAGGATTTCAAAAGCTTTGGGGTTTTTGTCTCTGACTGACTTATCCATATCTTCTTGAGCAACGACCCTTATCACTTATAGTAGCCATCTTCCATCAAACTCGGACCTGGTAACTTTGAGATAAAGTTACTATCTTGTAAATACGTACAAGTATCAATCATGATAAGCTGATCCTGTAACCTGAGGAGCTGGTTCTTCACAACAATTAAGCAGCTACATTGAGTACCTGGTTCTTTGAGCAATTAGTCATACTTTGTTAATCATCAAAACTTCAATACTCAGTAAATTTCCTCTTTTTGATGATAACAAACTTTGTACACAAAACTAGGCAATTACATCAAAGAGCAATATGATTACAACAAGTACTTTTGACATACATGTATGTTCACAACCCACTAACCTTATCTTCCCCCTTTTGGCATCATAAAAAATAACACAAACAGATGTTAGACATTAAGAACATATAATGTGAGATCCAAGGCCAAACAGGCAACAACACAAACATAAGAAAAGGCAAATAAACTAGGTTGATGATCCAATAGAGTACAAAGCAGTAAGCAGAGCAATTATGGTTAATGCCATTTGAGCCACATAACTCAAGGAATTTTGAATTTTCAAATTCAGTTCCATGGTCAATTCTTATACTAAAAACATTACATCCTATCTTTTGTTGAATCATTCTGAAAAGTACACAAAAAACATCAAAGGTTTCATCTTTAGATCTCAAAAACAAAGTCCAGGTATACATGGAGAAGTCATCAACAATCACAAACACATACCTCTTACCTCCTCTACTCCTTATTCTCATTGGTCCACATAGATCCATGTGAGGGAATTCCAGAGGTTTAGAAGTACTTACAAACTTCTTAGATTTAAATGATGACCTAACATGTTTCCCGCTAACACATGCATCACAAACCTTGTCAGAGGTGATGTAACGACCCGACCGGTCATTTTGAGCATTTGCACTTCGCTCGCCAGCTCTCGGGCATGACTAGCCCCGTGTGATGTATTATGACTTATGTAAATCGTCGGTTTTGATTTTCAGGGTAATCGGAATAAATTTTGAAGAAACAGTTCTCAGTTTGAAGCTTAAGATTTGAAAGGTTTGACCAAGATTTAACTTGTTGGTATATGATCTCGGATCGGATTTTTATGATTTGGTTAGCTCCGTCATGAGCGTGATCGGGATGTGATTTGGAGGTCCGTGGAAGGTTTAGGCTTGAATTGGCGAAATTAGAATTTTGACGTTTTTCGGTTGATAGGTGAGATTTTGATATAGGGGTCAGCATGGAATTCCGGAAGTTGCAGTAGCTCAGTGATGTCATTTGGGATGTGTGTGCAAAATTTCAGGTCATTCGGACGTGGTTTGGTATACTTTTTTATCAAAGCGGAATGCGGAAGATTTTAGAACCTTAGGCTTGAATTCGATGAGTTTTGGTGGTTTTGATGTTGTTCGAGGTGTTTTGAAGGTTGGTATAAGTTTGAATGGTAGTATAAGACTTGTTGGTGCTTTTGGTTGAGGTCCCGGGGACCTCGGGGTGATTTCGGATGGTTGTCGGAAGAATGGAAGTTTGGAAAGGCAGCTGAAGTTGGAATCTACTGTCATAACCGCATTTGCGGTTGGAAGGCCGCAGGTGCGACCCCCGCAGATGCGGATAGGAGTCACAGAAGCGGAAGATGGTGAGGTTGGCAAGGACCGCAAAAGCGGTAGAAGAACCGCACCGACGATGGCAGGTGCGGGCTAGGCATCGCAGATGCGGAGTTGGGCGGCTTAAGTGAAAACCACAGAAGCGGTTCAAGGACCGCAAATGCGGTACCGCAAAAGCGGGAATTTGGTCGCAGATGCGAAATCCCTGGACCAGAACATATAAGTTATTTCCTTCGCGATTTTCAGAACTATTCCACCATTTTTAGTCAGTTCTTGGAGCTTTGAGGTGATTTGAAAAAGGATTTCAAGGGGAACTCATTGAGGTAAGGATTTTGGACCTAAAAACTCGTTCCTATTGTATTAATTCACGGATTAGGGGTGAAATTAATGGAATTTAAGGGTTAGAATTGGGGAAACTAGGGCTTAGCATCGGAGACCTAGACTTGAGGTTTTGAGGGGCCATATGTGGTCGGATTTTGGAACTTTTAATATGTATGAACTCGTGGGGAGATAAGGAATCCAATGATGTAAAATTTATCAAATTCCGAGACGTGGGCCCGGGGGTCGGGTTTTGGTAATTTCCGGATTTGCATTGTTTTTCGATTGTTTTCGAGTGGGCTTCGTCCCTTTAGTATATATTAATGGTTACGTTCTGGTTTTGGATAGATTTGGAGCATCCGGAGGCCGATTCGAGGGGAAAAGGCATCGCGAGCTAGAGTTTGGACCGGATTGAGGTGAGAAATGATTTTAAATGTTGTCCTGAGGGTATGAAACCCTGGATTACACAACGTTAGGCTATGTTGAGGTGACGCACACGCTAGATGACGAGCGTGGGATCGTGCACCATTGGGGAGTGTGACTTAGTCCATCCCGAATGACAGTTTTACTGCGTATTTGATAGCAAATTGTTTGATATTGTCATGTTTTGGGCTAAATGCCATATTTGGGCTTCGTGCCAACTGTTTGGATCCTTAGGGGATTTTACTGATATTTTCCTCACTGTTTTACTTCATACTTACGCTCGGTCATGCCACATTTTACTGTTTTCAAAACTAAGTCATGTTATTCTGTTTTAAACACCTTAAATGATATTTTCAAAAGATATTTTGAGCTAAGCATCATGTTTACTGTTGCCCGAGGGGCTTATGAGATTCTGACTGAGTAAGGCCGAGGGCTTGTGTTATGAGGATACTTTTGGGTCGGGTTGCACGCTGCAACGGTGATATACTGATTATGATAATGAGGCTGAGGGCCTGAGATTGTACGCCACGAGGTGTCTTGTGATTAATATGAGGCCGAGAGCCTGTTGATTATGCCACGAGATGGCTTGATATTGCGCTTGGGCCGTAAGGGGCCCCTCTCGGAGTCTGTACACCCCCAGTGAGCGCGGGTACCCATTGTGATATGAGATATAGCTCGAGGGGTTGGTGTTGTTTTGTGATGTTACCCCGAGGGGCTGATTCTGTTGTTACGGTGCCCGAGGGGCAGTTCTTATGTGTTTACCTTTTCTAGCTGTTTCCTCTATTTGTTTAACTGCTTAAAAGGTGTTTT